CAGAAAATTTTGGAAAACCCATTTGCAATTGAACAATGGGGCAACCCCTTCGCCCCCTCGGGCAGTTTATTGTCCATGCGCGTCGCATGCATCATTCGGAGCACGAATCTGTCCGATAAGAGCCCTTAACGTGTAATATCCAGCGGCAGATAGGGCATCTTGCGAGAATAATTTTCGCGATAGGACGTTTTCAAAGGTGGCGGCCGGGAGGACGGGGGTGGTCGGGGGACACAGGTAAGGGCGGAATCTAAATAGGCGTCATCCAATGACGGAATGGCTTCCGGAACGTTTCGCTGGCTAGAGGAGTGCATCGATAAACGATTCAATGAACAGGGACGATAATCGAGGCAGCGATTCGAAAGTTCGATACCGCGGGGCGGGACAGGATAGAAGACGGCTACCCTGCGCGGGGGATGCTGGGGAATTCCGCGAGCCATTTCGCGAATTCCATTACCGTCGGCTCGGTTTTTTATCCGGTCAATTCCGGCGAAAAACCGATTTCAGGCTGGAAGGGCTGACGGCCTTAAGGGGGCGAACTTTGGCAATTTTTTGGAAGGATAATGCGGAACGGATCGCGGCGAACGTTTTGGGGTGTAATGCGGACATGTGTAAGTATCGATTGCAGGAGGAGAACGATTTTTTCTAGGAAGAATTTTGGAAAGGCGGCTCCCTTCTCTTAACGATTATAGAAACGACTTCCGGGCCGTTATCATTTTTGCAACAAGTGGCGCGGTGGAAACTGCCGCCACCAACTCTCGAAATCACTCCGACGATTTTCCAAATGGGGCTGCCGGGGGTGGGAGGGTTAAATGCTGGGGTCGTGGGACCTGGAACCATTTCCACGGATCTTTACGATTATCCTGTCGCGTGTTGCAGATTCATCGTTGCTTCCTGAGGCCTGGCTGTTATTTTCGAGGGCCGTTTCATCCCCCTTATGGGGTTACGAGGAAATACCCAAGGAATCTGTAGAGTTTGATGGGATACGGTGCTCCAATTGCGTACGAAACGGCATCATTCCGTTTATCCGTTTGTTAACGTTTTTTTTTCGAAACAATTGCATTCACGATTCCGTGAATATATCGCGTTTGTTCCCCAGTCAGCCCGCACAGGCGAGCCAGGGATCGATAAACGATGTCCAGAAAAATTAAAAAAAGCTCATGCCACGCTGGACAGAATTGTTTTGAGTTCGTTTCCGGTCGAACCGCGCCGGAAGTCGACCCGAATCCCGCAGACTCGAATTCGTCGGGCCACGAATCGCTGCTTCGGCGGTTCTATTTCGACCTGCGCCGCGTCATGGTCGTCGGAGGGGGTTGGGAAAGGGCTGAAGGGATCGGGAACGAAAGTTTTTGCGGGATTATCCGATCCCCGTAATTAAGCTGGTAACCGGGCTAATTAAAAATTCGAGTGCAATTATCAAACGCTCGCGGGAACCGAGAGGGGGATTATTTTCGAGCGGTAAATGAATTTTTTTTGTTTTCGCCGTTCAGGGCTGTCGGAAGATCAAATGTCGCGCCTCCCGAAGGGCGCCAACCCTCCTTACGGTTGCACCCTAAAATTACGCTTCCTTTATTTCTTTTGAATAAAAAAAAGAATGGTACGTCCTTATGAGATTCTAGCGACTCGCGGACGTATGTTTCAATCCTGATCGCAATTTTAATGGTATCGACGTGAAAAAAATATACCGAGCACAGTACATACACGCGAAATAAGTGTGCGCAGCGCCATTGAGATATCGTCTCCGGTTTCGTCTGGAAAAATTCCCAAACTGCGCACTTACGTATGGAACCGAAAATTCACTTTGGTTCACATCGGTTCTCTGTGCAGCGACGACGACGAGGAATCACATGGTACCGACGTGAAACAAATTCTCGAGGGCGGTGTATACATGGTGGAACAACCGGCGAAAATTTCGTTCGGTTATCTGTTCCGGTTTCGCCGAGAAAAAGTTCCCAAAGCGGGTTTCCCGTTGAGAAACGGGAACCGTCTCGCGCGGGGACAATCGCAAAGCGCAAGAAACGCGTTGCGGAATCGTTTAACGGCCACGGGACAGACTGCGGTTCCGAGATGCACTGTTGCACAACCTGTGGACCCGGTCTGTAAATGTCGGCACGAAGTCACGTGTCTCGGGTAACCATTCGGTAGGGACAAGTAACGTTTCACGTGTGGGAATCCGACGCTCCACGTGGTCGGGTCGCGTGTATCGATTAATCGTCGCGAATTTTGGTGCCGCGCCGCGCCGCGTCCCAGTGTGCGTCCGGCTTTTCTGTGTGGGTGCGTGCCGGTGTGCCGGACGGCCAGGTGGGATCGATAAATTCATTAGCGCGAGAAGAATTCCTCGGGAATAAAGTGAACCCTCTCGATACGACGGTCAACTATAGTTGGCCGCAGCAATGTCACCTTGCCGAGCCGTCGACGATTATAATTGCACGCCGCCTGGGCGAGCAACGAAGGAGAACCGTACTTTCGCGTCGTAGAGTTTTCGTGATTTTCAATCGGCGCTGGATGCAGCGAATTTTTCTTTCGAAATTCGAAGAACATCGACGCGGCGGCGAAGGCGAAAGGCGGATGCGGAGTTTATTGAGAATCGACGTTGGACAGTCAGCAATTAGAAGGGAGCTTTGGGAAGCTTGCCCGCGATCCAGGAAGCGGCAGCCAGGATTAGAAACCTTCGGGAAATCCTTTTTCTACTCTCGAACCGCCGGGAATCCCATTCCCGCCGACAACCAGTCGATACGATCGTCGACCCTGAGGAAACCAGCCAGTCGATCGTTCTACCTTTTCCAGATCTCGAAAGCGCCATTCTTACTCAGTAAAATGCCGTTTAGTTTGCGGCGAAACTCGTAAAATTGCGCATTCGAAGGCACAGAACGTTCGACGATGCACGAAAAGATTCAAAAAAATAAGAACCACGATTTTTCATATATTTACGGGCTTGCAAAATGTCGCGAATATCGTTCAAGATACCCTAGAATACTTCGAAAAAAAAACTGAAGTCCGCGCAGTTCAATCCGTTTGGTCGGGATAGATTCGAGAAGGGACCAGTTCTCGGCCATGGGGACTGTAACAGACGAATTTTCGGAAGTATGACGAATTGGGGTCGGGATATGGCAGTTTCTGCGCAGCATGATCGAATATCTGTTATATGCCCGGTTATAATGTCGGCACTTATCCCGGATTCGCCGGTCCACGGATCCCGTAGACAGCCGGTTCTCCCGGCCTATCGCGTAACGCGCTTATCCGCGACGGTTTCGGAAGAACTTGGGATTCCGTGGCGACTCGGTGACACCATTCCCACCGATATTCCCCAGCGATTTCGGCTGGCTCGATCTATCGACCGACTCGCGAGCAAACTTGAAAGCTCGGAAAATAGGATTACCCGCTGCATGATAGGATCTCAAATATTACGGAAATCAAATACGCTCCAATTCGACTGATTGGTATAGGCCAGATTATGGACTTAACTTGAGCCCAGCCTGGCCCACGATCTCACTTGCGGGGGCCAGAATCACCTCTGGGACTAACAAACCTGGCAGTGATTAGGGTTAACTTAGGGGACACGGCCAACCGGGTCATTGTTGACAGTTGGGTTTGAGTCTAATCTGAGGCGCCATTGGCAGTCGGGTTTTGGTCCAAACAACATCCAAGGATTCAAAGTTAGGTTCGTTTTCTTCTCTCTTCCTTTTCTCTTCCTCTTCCTTTCTCCTTCCTTTTCTCTGTGTCTCATTTATACGTAATTCTATGTAAATATTAGCATGTTATTTGCATGCTAATAACCCAGTCAGTGAGTTCAGTAGCGTGATAATAAAGAAGAGAATCCAAAATTAGGTCTGATTCCATGTTAGTCCCGGGTTTAAGCTAGGACGCCATTGGCAGTTGAGTTTTGGTCCAAACAACATCGGGGGATCCAAAATTAGGTTCATTTCCTTCTCTCTTCCTTTTCTCTTTCTCTTCCTTCCCCTTCTTCCTTTTCTCTGTGTCTCATTTATATGTAATTCTATGTAAATATTTGCATGTTATTTGCATGCTAATGACCCAGTCAGAGGTTCGGTAGCGTGATAAAAAAGGAGAGAGTCCAAAATTAGATCTAGTTTCATGTTAGGTCGGGGATCAATGTTAGTCCTGCACCTAAAGTTAGATCCTGATCGAAGGACCTAGGACCGAGGTGAAAATTGAGCTGAAGTCCAGGCTAGGTCTGGGCCCAAGCCAATTCATAGTGCCAAAATCAGGATTCCGACCTAGACTCGAGTTCAAAGATAGGCTCCGGACCTAGAGTTCGTTCTGGGTCCAAAGTGAATCGCGAGCCTAGGCTGGGCCTGTGTTCAAAGTTGGAGCCGCGGTCCTGTCCGGGCGCGAGGTAATGTCGGCATCAGCCAAGTCAAGCAATAAAGCGCCATAAGGCTGTTTGCAATTGGCGCCTGTAAGTGGCAGCTCCCGCTGAACAGGGAGCGGACAAAGCTAGGAACAAGCATCACGTTCCGGGATTGTTATGCAGGGAGGGTTGATGCCGGCCGAAACCGAAAGGAAACACGGCGGTCTCGTCGGAAAAATCCGCATAATTCCTGGCGGAAGAGCGTCTCTTCCCGGTATCCTAAGAGTAGGAGGTCGTGGCGGGAGCGTAGCGTATTTCCCCCAATTTCGTTAGCGCCTACACGCGCACCGGGGCACACGTACGGCAGGGGTTCCGGCGGGCGGAGAGGGGCCAGCGAGGGAACGAGCGAGCGAAGTAGCAAGCCGGCAGTCAGGCAACGCATCGAAAAGAGGTTCGCCGCGCAGGGGCAGGGAGCGAGATGGAGAATTTTGCAGCGATCATCGACTTGGAGAACAGCGCAGTCGCCCAGGAACCGACTCGAAATCGTTCCGTCCTGCTCGGTTCTCTGGTTTCTCTTCGTGGTGCCGTCCTCGTCGCTGCCGCTATGCTCCCGGCTGCTCCTCCACCCTTCTCCCGCTCGTTGCCATTCCCCTCTACCACAGGCTACCACCACCATCGGTGCTCTACCACCACGACGAACAACGTAGCATCAGTGGTAGCAGCAGCAGCAGCAGCAGCAGCAGCAGCAGCCGCGGCAGCAGCAGCAGCAGCAGCAGCAGCAGCAGCACTAGCTACAACACCAGCAACTACACTATCAGCAGCAACACACCGGCGCCTCTTGTTCCGGCTGGTGTGTGCCGCAGTAGCGGCCGCCGCTTCTCTGGCCGAGTATAGATTTTCAATTAGTGCAACCCGAAGGAACGTGGATAACGATGTGCCGGGGTGACGACACCTGCTGACCACCTCGAAGGTCGCCGTCCGCGCGGGTCGTCCTTCCTCCGTCGTCGGTTGTCAGTGCGTCCGAACGATCCTCGGAGTTTTCGCAGAGACCGTCGCACCCGCCGTCGCCTCCGCGGGGGGAGGGGTCCTCGGGGACACAGACGGACATAGAGAGAGAGAAAGAGAAAGATAGAGCGAGAGAGAGAGAGAAAGAGATCGATCCCTCGTTCCTCGTCGTGTGCGTGAACAGTGTGCTACCGTAGCTCCGCTAGCTCGTCCGAACACCATGGTTGACCAGTGACACCGTTCACCGCTGCGAACAGGATACCCCGGTGGGAGAGATACCCCGTCACCCGTCGTCCATGGTGGATGGCCGAAGGATCAGCGAGGATGGCGCAGCTCCGGACGATACACAGGACCCTGCTGTCCAGGCTGGCGGCACTCTACGTGCTCATGCTGCACTCAGGTGGGTCTACCAACCGATTACAAGATCGTCTTCGGTGGTGAAAGCTTCAGCATTTAGGGAATCCTGAACGGTTTCGGCTGTCGGTGGCCCGCGAATGGTGCGCGAACGTCCCCTTTCGCCAGTTGTTCCTCGATCCTCCGACCTCCTGGTAGATGGTGCTCGCGAATTCCAGGCCTCGGCGATTGCACCTAGCTTCCTTTGACGCTGTCAGCCCTAGTGAGCCTACGCACTCTAGGAATCCGTCGAGGACTAGAATGCTTGGCCTAGGTCTTGACCAGACTCGGATTCGACGAGACCAAGGCTTCGACCTTGCTCCGGAGTCTATATTAAGGTACAGCTTTAGGACTCTAGGTTAAGCGCAAGCTCTCAGATTCTAGTCCAGGCTCTAGCCTAGTCAATGACCAGGTTCTAGTACAAGTGCTGGTTCATTCAGCCGAGGCCCTCGTTGATGTCTTAGACCACGTTCTAGCCGACCGAGTCCTCGAATCAACTCCAACCGTGGCGCCAGGAAAGCCCCGGTTTAAACACTCCCTCGGATTCTATCTCGCGCACTAACTCGCGCTGCTAGAGGTCTCGTAGCAGGCTCCAGCCGAGACACTAAGTCAGGCTCTATCTTAGCCGGCATCTGAGCCTCTAGCTTAGCTCGCGGTGATCTCAGGTGTGGCGAGGATCTTAAGTTCCAGATTCCGCCTTTAAACTTCAACCGGAATCTCAGGCTTTATCCTGAATATCCTCCAAGGAATCCCCCTTTCGAGACTTTGTATAGCCGGACCAATAGTTCCGCTCTCTATCGGCATTGGCCCTGCGGTCGATTGAGCGCTCGCCAGGCGACAAATAAACAATTAACGGGCCACTGTTGCGATAATCGTGGAAACGGCAGCCGTGCCGATCGCTCGGCGATATTCCGGCGCCGATGCACAGAGGGGGGTGGTGGTGGGGGGAGGAGACGATATACGCGCACGTCCACGCGGCTCGGCTCGACTTGGCGCGTCGTCGCCCGTATTGTTTGGATGTTTGCTCGATCACGATCTACGCGGCCGGGCCGGCCCGTTCGACAATGGCCCCCGTCGTGGCATTTCACCGTCATCGATCTCTGTCCAGGTCCCGTGTAATTTGCTTAATCTCTCCGCGGGCCCCGAGACACCGGGTACACAGAGAGGCGATCCTCCTTCTTCCACGAGGAAATTAGTTCGAAGACTGACGCAATCCACCTCGGGCCCGACCCGACAGCCGCTCGTTTGTTACGCGTATCTGATCTCCGGACTCTTGTCTATCCATCGAACCCGTCGATCGATATTGCCGCCGACAATACACCTGCTCTCTTCCTGGTACACCTGGCGCTGTGGCCTACACCTGAAACAAGTCCGAACGCGCTGAATCGCGGCTCGGAATGCATGTTCCGCGAGTCTCGGTTGAACCGGGCACTGGATGCTCTGGGCCTCGGTCGGCAGATAGGAATGGAACTTTGGGTCTGCGTTAAAGAACAGGGGTCTAAGTTGGGTCCGCATTAACCTCTCGACAGTGGACATTTTTGAGGATTTGTGGCAGCCACGGCTGGATCTGTTCAATTTTTATTTGTCATCAAAACCTTTTCGTCGAGAGCGAAGTTACGCCTTTTATTAGTGTCAATATTAACAGTTAATAATTACATACGACGCTACAAAATTAGAACTTAGATGGAACGTTCGTAACACTGGGCCCAGATGGATCTGGCGCCCGCTATCCGAAGATTGAGGTGCAGGGGGTCTAAGTTTGGTCAGCATTAAGGGGCACGATCCAAGTTTGGCCAGGTCATCGACCAGGCTTCGCAGTTAGGTCGAAGCTCGGTCTAGAAATAGTCGCGATACCTTTTCCAGTTCGGAAAAATGATTCGACCTATTTCGGGGCCGTCATGAGAACTGTTGCCAGCAAGACGGCGGCGCGTCTCCGGGCTGCTGAAGAGCCCCCCCCCCCTCCCCCGATAATAAGGATCGTTATCGCGCCGGCGATACGATCGTCGCGGACGGGGCCAGCCTTCGGGACAAAGGGAAAACGATTTCCGTCGGTTTTTGCCGGGACGTTCTCGCTGTCAGGCCGCTTTCATCGGCCGGCGTTCAACAAGGGGCGAGCCGGTCGCCCGAGGGACGCGGAGGAAATTAAAATATCAGGATATCGCGCTCGGCGCGCGGTCGGCTCGATGGAAAAGAGGCGGAAGGTCGACGAAAGTTCCCGTCTGGCTTCGAGGACGCCGGGTAATGCGGTAACCAACGGACATTTAGATAGGACCCGGCCTCCGTGGGGGGACAGAAATAGGATTCCCGGGACGCGGAAGTTCTCGAGGATCCCACCGTGAAAGTAGATCGATTACGAGCCGTGAATAAAGCTCTCCTCGGGCTGAACCGTTCCAGCGGCTTCCATCAATTTTTCCGAGTAGCTCACGATTACACTGCCGGGCCGTGGCTAGGTGATCAGCGCTGGATCTGAATTGAAACCAATTCTACGTGCCCGGGTTCGATTCTGGTCAAATGCGGGATCGTTCGCTTGGATCCTCGTCGCGCTGCCGTTGAGATGCTTCCGGTCCGTGTTGGTCACAAATCGAGGATGAATTATGAGGTTCGCGCGGTTTTGAGGTGGGCACGTTGCCTGGTGTCTAGGCCAGCTTGTGCCAGGTCTGACGCCTCCAGGGTTATTAGAGCAGCGTCCACTGCGAGGATTATTGGTCTTGGATCTTCTACCGCGAATGTTATCGCTGCTAGGAACACCGACGACGACCCCCATCAGCGGCAGCTCTTTGCCGAGCTAGGATTCGCAGGACCAGGTCCCGTGGAACCACGTAGTAGCTGCGCGAAGTAGTTTTTAGACTCTCGGATCTACATTAAGGACCACAGTTCCCGGGTCCCCTAAGTGCTCCTCTCCCAGTGTTAGGTCCGCCAAGTTATCCCGGGTCCTCTTAACTTAAACAACTGATGGCCGCAAGTGATCCCAGGGCTAATATTGCGCCGAGATTGAATGATCGGCGCTAGATTAGGTCTGACCTACATCCGAATCGGACAATTATGTCTGAGATAAACACGGTAAACAAACAGCCGGCTCGTCGTCAGGTGATTAGCCCGAAGATCGTGTCCCACGAGTAGAACGAAAACCGTTGACCCTATACTTCGAGCGCGAAGACATTGCTATCTAAGTCCGACAGTCTGATTTGTGCGGAGTCACCGAGACTCTCTATTGTAAGTTCAACCAATTGGGGTACTTGCGTTAACGACTTATCGTTGCGTGACGTCATCGGCTGTACGCGGTACGTCCGCGCGAGTCTCTTGGTTCGCGTGACGCGTTTAGGTTTGTAGCAAGAAGCTTCGTAGCTGTCTACGATCGTTCCGTCCATCGACGTTGCAGCGCGGCTCCCCACTCGATAATTGTTCCCGTTTTCTTTTCTTTCGCTATAATTTTGGCAAACGAGCCATTTCTCCGGCCCGGCAAAATTCAATAATGCCGACTGGCGAAAAATACTGCTCAGACATGCGAGCCGGGAATTAACGTGGACGGTCGTGTAACGTTTAATTCACGACACGACGCCTCTGCCAGGCAGCGGCAGACCCCGTTGAAAGTCGCTGACACCAAACACAGCGCGATCTCTCATGGAGAACCGGGCTGTACAGGTGTGCCGCTGTTTTTCTAGACGGCAACGATTTCCCTCGACTTGTCTGACCATTGCCCGCCACTTCCGCTTAACGCTTCAACAGAGCTCCGCAAACAATGCTCTCCTTCGTCTGATCTGAAATCATTTTCATCGGCTCGGATACGCGATGGAAATTGCTGTCGCCCGGAAATTTATTCCGGGCAGGATGACGCTCTTCTCGACTTGTCTGCACGGTGCCGGCTCTCTCCACTTGGCGAATTCAGCCGTAGAAATGTTGCCGATCGTTTTCCACATCCTGCTGTTGTTCGAAAAATAATTTCCCTCGGCCGAGATTAAACGATTATCGACGTTAACAGAATTGGGAAATCTTGCAGTAACATCGCGACATGAATTACAGGCTCCATTTACCTCCGAAAGCTTTCGCCTTCTCGCAGCACGATTTTTTGTATAAATGCTAGCAGCCTTTGTTAACGTGCCTGACCACCGTCGACTGTTCCCACTCGAAACTCGACCCTCGACTTCAGATTTTTGTTGCGCCCGAACCATAAAAGCTACACGGACCTAGCACGCGCAGAGAAATGCTGCAAGCTCGCCCGAACAAAACGGTATATTTTTATACAGTATCGCAAACAGAGGAGCTGGTTCTAAAAAATGTTCGAACGGGAACGTTCACCGCGAACGCGCGCGGATATTTTTCCGCGTATCGTCGAAATGGAAAATCCGAGAGAAAGTCCGACCGCGCCGCCGTTGCAGAGGAGAGATTTAAGTATTTTTTTCAGCGACGGATCGCTGAATTTCCGCGTGGACGAGCAACGTCGACGATTGAAACGTATAAATGAAGTATCGATTCTGCGAGAGAAGCGCTCGCGGATGGACGTTCCTCCAGCCCCTTGGCTGTTCACGTGAACGTTCATCATTGCCGTGTCTTCCCGGGTTGTCGGGCCGCAGACGGTCGACGTCGCGACGCCGCTCGCACGTGCTCGTGACGGACGCCGACACGGTCGATTTAATTAAAGACAATCGGACGAGGGTTGGATGTGTAGCTGTCGCAACGGGAGGTTAATCAGCGGCCGGAAGTGTGTACCGGATATAAGGCTAGGTCAAAAATCAATTACCATAACTGTGCCAGGGCCGGGTCCCCGTTCGGCATTAATTATTTACGCACGAATTACCGGCGAACACTGCGCGCTCGAATTCTTTGACCTGGCATTTCCGAACCCGTGAAACAGCCCAATAAAACATTCATTTCCTCCTGATTATTATAATTAAGCTGTCAACGGTTTTGATTACGTCCCGCAGAAAATTCGAGAGTTTCGCTCGGTTCGTTTTTCTCTGCTTTTGGCAGCTATTGAAAGAATAAGTAGAAACGGGCGGCCATGGTCGGACGAGTTAAGCGACGTTAGAGAAAAGAAATTGTTGAATATATTTCGTTGGAATTTCGCCGATACGGAGTTTGTTTACCAGACATTTACATATCAAATAGGAACAGTTTACCATGGTCGGACAAGTTAATGGACATCGCGATATAGGAATTGTTTACTAAACAGACTCGGATTGCTAGATATTTATTTCGGATACAAGTGGAAACGGTCAGGCACGATCAGGCCAGTTTTCATGGATGTCAGAAAATCTGGACAACGGATATCGAGAAACTGTTAAATATTTCGCGTTGAACATTTCTGAAGATATACTCGGACCACCGCCTTTCTATTCTTATATTTCTGTTCTTATCGAGTGAAACAAGCGCCGCATGGTCGGGCAGCCTGAGAGAAAGAAAGTATGTCGACTAGAAAATATTTTGTATTGAATATTAATGGGACGCGGGCTCGGACATCATCCAGAGATTTATTTCACGTACTTATCAAGTGGAATTGATTGATTTTCAAGGGTCAATAAATTCGGGAATATTGAGAGCAAAAGAGAACAGTTCGACGAGAAAAAAGGGCCGGCGTATTTTCGCAAAGCAAATCGACAATCGGTTCAGACTATTCGGGACGGCTCGAAAAATAGATCGAACAATTTTTTCGGCTTCGATGCCCCGATATCGGCTATCGCGGAACCCGTCTGTCTCCACGGGATTTGCGTCCGTGTGTCCACGTGCGGGTTTTTTTTTCCTCGGCCCGTAATTGATTGCGAAGGGTTCTGGTTTCGCAATTCCCGCGGCTCGTTTTACAAGCGGCCAAATTTGGTTTTTTTCCTCGGATCGTGTTACGGGATGGAAGGAGCTGTCTCTCTCTTTCTCTCTCTCTCTTGTTCTTCTTCGCTCCTGTTTCCTCGCGTTTTCCCGGGCAAAGACAAAAATAACAGAACAGCCCGAAAAATACAACGAGATGCCGTCCAGAGTGACCCAGATAAAGCGATCGGGACAAGATGTCGGCCCGTGACCCGAGACGACGCTGTCAAAACCGATCGATGTATTTTTATAGAGACGATTCTCTGCGGTACAGCGACGTCGCTGTCCTCTATACAATCTCTATTCTTCCATTATTTTATGTAGCAGCAGTTCTCGTAAACACGCAATTATCCAACTGCTCGGAATGATCAAATTACCTTTTATTCGAGGAGCGATAAATCCGCGCGGAAAAATCGCACATAAACGTACTTCAAGTACGCGTTGGTGGCGATCGATACAAAAAATTTGCATGCTCTGCGGAGACGCTTGAATTTGCAACATTTTACGAAGTACGTATCACTTTCCCGCTCGATACCCGCTATATTAGTACGGCCATCTGAAAACGAGTTCAGAATAGTGAAAGCAGAAGCTTTACCCTTTAAAATAAGATAAAGTATATTGTCGTATGATCTTTTTTTACAATGTTGCGACCGCTTGAATATCGGTAATTATTTGTCCTAGATTTCCAGATAAAGTACATGTACCATACCACTCGTCAATTAATTATTAAATGACAGAGAACGTTGATAAAAAACAAGCTTACTAGAATCAAAGTAGAAGCATTACCCTTTAAAATAAGGTAAGGCACATTGTCGTACGATTTTTTTTACAATGTTGCGACCGCTCGAACGTCGGTAATTATTTATCCGAGATTTCCAGATGAAGTACATGGACCGTACCACACGTCAATTAATTATTAAATGATAAAGAACGTTGATAAAAAAACGAGCTGACTGGAATCAAAGTAAAAGCTCGGCTCTTTAAAATGAGCTATAGTACGTCGTCGCACGATTTTTTTCAATCGAGTTACATTAGCTCAAACGTCGATAATTGCACGCTCGAGATTTCTAGATAAAGTACATACACCATATGGCTCGTCAATTAATTATCAAAAAACGAGCATGATTGTTAAAAAAAAATGAGCTTACCAGTATCAAAGTAGAAACTTCACCCTTCAAAACAAGCGAAGTTACAGTGCCGTACGATCTTTTTCGCCGATGTTACGTTAGCCAAATTTTTCATCCCTTAACTTCGGTTCGACAAAAAGCGCATGAAAATCGCCGCGTGTCAATTGGCTGTTGTCCGGCGGCCACGAGGACCAATGCAGCGGTCGGTCATCGAGAGAGCTTCATCGGGTTCTCATTGAAACAGGGTCTCGCCGTTGGGGGACGAAACGGCCGGAGCCAAGCGAGGGGTGGAAGTTAATTAAGACCACTCGAAAAAAAAGCGACTGTGGTTCGCGAGTAACGTTTAATGCGGCGGATGCGTGGCGAATAACCGCGACCTAATGGGACGCAGGGCCGTGCGAGGGGGGTGAGGGGATGTACCGGGCAATAGAATCTAAAGGGGATTTCTCTGAGCACGGCTTTGCAGCCCCGCCTCTCCACTTGACGAAGAAAGACCTGGATATCGCTTTCGTAATTTCCCTCGTTGAATCGGGGTGCCCGCGTCCCACCTCCCCCTCTACGGCCCTGAAGAGAAATTCGACGGATCCGATTGGCTCGGTATCGAATTGAAAATCGCTGATTTCCCGGCGATCGTATCGCCGACCGGAAATTTGCTAATTCCGTCCCGCTGACGACGATACAATTTAATTGTTCCCCGTCGTATCCAATAACTTCTCCCCCCTCCTCTTCGCCGTGCTCCGCGTCCCGCCACGCTCGGTCGACTCATGCGGGGGTGGTATTATGAGAAACGCTCTAATTCCGCCCGCGCGGCCTCTCGTCACCAACGTTGCGTATTTCGAGAGCCGAGCCCCGGTAATTTTAAGAAGCTTAAACCGTAAGAGAATCGGCCGACGATCAGCTGCCGATATGTCGTCGCTCGATACATGCGGACTTTAAGACCCAGGATTAGTGGCAGGGGCCCGGAAACAGCGCATACGCCAATGTCAAATCGGACAGCTAAAAAGTGGAGCTAATGTAATAAATTTTATCGGAAATAGCGCGGTACAATTAATAATTCATACTATTATATTCTCTCTCTTCTTTGCGTCCCCGGTTGGCTCGCAACCTTGTGAAATTAGCTCGACAGACGGCTGTTTACGCAGCAAGTGGAAGAGCCCAGTGTATGGTCAGACACTACATTGTTGGCGGCTATCTATGGGGTGAGCGATGAACCGGACGGAGGAACTCCTCTGAAAGTTTTGTAGACTGATGTACAGGGGCGAGTAGAATGAGTCAGCACATTCTCGGACAGAGTAGAAGACGCCGCCTTGTAATCAGACAGCTTTAAATCACTTTCAACTTGGCATTGGACAAACATGAGAACTGTCAGAAAATGTGTTCCAGGCAGAATGCTGTACCATTTTCCAAGTTGAGCGGTCCGGTCGGTGGACGTCCGTGTCCCTAACAAAGTGGAACAAGTCGTGCATTTTATCAGACCGCACTCATGCCGAGCTAAATCAAGCTCAGCCTGAGTCAGACAATACGTCATATTCCGTAGCAGAATAAGCCAGAACTTCGCCAGGCAATGCATATTTCATTGCCAGGCCGTTCTGCAGTAGAATAGATCGCGCCACTGTCAGACGATTTATCTCACGAGTCCATCGCGAAGTGGAACAAGTCGGAGTTTGATCAAACAACGCACTTCTCATTTGTCAGACGATTCCGGTGTAGAATAGGTCATGCGATGGTCAGGCAATGCATCTCCCTCGCCTGTTACACAGTGGATTAAGCCGTGCTCTTGTCAGACCATGTATCTACAAACATTGATTTAAGAGAAGCAACCGAGCCAGTGGAGTAGTGTAATATTTGGTCAGACGGTGCTTATGCAGAACGGTCTGCAAGGGATTAGGAAACCTGGTCAGACAATGTGCATTCAAAATATTCATGCAGTGGAATGGTACATTGTCTGACCAGACATTGTACCATTAATCGTGTAGGGAGATATTACAGTGCCTGGTCAGACAATGTGCATTCAAAATATTCGTGCAGTGGAATGGTACAGTGTCTGGTCAGACAATGTACGTTACAAATAATCGTGTAGGAAGATATTACATTGCCTGGCCAGACAATGTGCATTCAAAATGTTCACGCAATGGAATGGTACTGTGTCTGGTCAGACAATGTACGTTATAAATAATTATTCAGAAAAATATTACAGTGCCTGGTCGGGCAATGTGCATTACAATAACTCCTTGCAGTAGAGTAATGCTGTAACTGGTCAGACAATGTATGTTAAAAATGTATCACTATTGGAATCAATCAGTGCATGATCGGACAATACGCGTTGCAAAAAGATCATACAGTAGAATAGGAGTACATCTGGTCAGGCAATGTATACTGCAAACATTCCTGCAGTAGAATAGCACAGTGCCTGGTCGGACGGTGTAATTTAAGTAAAGTAGTACATTGTGTGGTCGGACAAGTCTCTGTATTGAAACAGATAGATCTGTAGCAATTTACTGAAACGCTTCCTAATCGCAGGCGTGGTGGCCCTTCGAATGACGGCCCTGCAGATCCCGCAGCACGTGGTGCTGAATGAAACGGTCCGGATGCAGTGTAACTTCAACCTGGACGACGAGAAACTCTACTCCGTGAAATGGTACAAAGATGGCCACGAGTTTTACCGTTTCGTGCCCCAGGACAACCCAAGGGTGCAGACGTTTCTGGTGCCAGGGGTGAATGTAAACGTGAGTCCTGCATTTTTACACTGCAACACCTTTTATTTATCACCTTGTCAAGAGCAAGCTAAAGTTTATTTTTTATTATTTTATTTGGCGCTGAAAGAAAAATACGAAGCTGTTATTATTAATTTTAATTGCTACTAAATAAATTATTATTATAATCAATTTATCTAATTTATTATTTAATTATATTGAATTATTATTATAATTTGATCTGTTGCTAAAAAAATTGGTGTGCTTATTACAATATTATTTACTGTTGAATAAATTTTATGGAATCGATTGTACTTGAGTGTTGAGGAGTCCCTTGGCTTTCAGACGGACAACTCCACGGAGAAATCGGTGGTGCTGAAGAACGTGAACCTAACCAGCTCGGGGAGGTATCGTTGCGAGGTGTCAGCGGAGGCTCCGGCGTTCCAAACGGTCTCGGATCACGCGGACATGACGGTCGTCGGTGAGCGAAACTTCACCGCAGAAATATTTGCACGTTAGGGGACGAACGATAGGGGAAGCCACCATTTCAATCTCTCTCTCTCTCTTTCTCGAGTGGCTGGTAGCTTCTCGTTCTCGATGGGGGAACGGTTTGATGAGAACGGGAAAATGTCATTTTCTTGCAGTGCTGCCTGACGAGGGGCCACGGATAACCGGCGGACGTTCGCGCTACCAAGTTGGGGAGGTTGTTCGTATGAACTGCACGTCCGCACCCTCGAAACCCGCTGCCCTGTTGACTTGGTTCATCAACGGCGACCCGGTAAGCACCCAACAATATGTACGCAAATGCCACTTCGGCGTTCGCTCCCCTGCATGCAGATCGACGCTCGCCCGCGACTTCTACTATCAATTATCTCGGCCAGGTAAACACGTGCTTCTCTTTACGTCACTTGCGAATCTGTAAAAAGATCCTAGAAAAATTGTGAAAGATCCTGGGAGGCCTGGAAAGGTTCAGCAAAGTTCTGGTTAATTTTGGGAGGCCCTGAAAGATCACAGAAGATCCTGGGAGGATTAGAAAAATTGTTGATATGAACTTAGAGGGTACTGCATAATTTTAGAAGACCTTGGAAGAAATTCTTGGAGACCTTAGAGGATCCTAAAAAATTCACGGAGACATTGAAGGGTCTTAAAAAATTCTCGAAGACCTTGTAGTGTCCTGAAACGTTCTATAAAATTCTGGAAGGAACAGGAGTAATTCTAGGAGATCTTGAAGGGTCCTAAAAAATTTTAGATAGGTTTGAAGGACTTTGAGAAATTCTAAGCGACCTGACAGGTCCTGGAAAATTCCAGAAAACCTTGAAAAGACTATGAATAATTGTGGAAAACCTTGGATAAAATTCTGGAAGAACCCGGAGTGTCCTGGAAGGGTCACAAAAATTGTTTATGAACTTAGAGGGTCCTGCGTTATTTTAGAAGACCTTGGAAGAAATTCCTGGGAACATTAGAGAGTCCTAAAAAATTCTCGGAGATCTTGAAGAGTCTTAAAAAATTCTTTAAGACCTTGGAGTGTCTTGAACAGTTCTAGTTGACGTTGGAAGGTCCTGGAAAATGTTATATGACCTTGGAAAGTCCGGAGAAGCTTTGTTATTAATAGTATACGACAACTGGGGATCAGTGCGATGATTATCAGGTCCTGACAGGCACCGATAAATCCTGAGCAGTCCTGGGAACCTTAAAAGACCTCGGCGAGTCTTAAAGACCTCCCAACTTCCCCAAAAAGTCCAGAATAGCGTGGAGGAAAGTCCTGAAGGGGAAAAATCTTGCTGTGGCTGTAATCTCGGCCGATCTAGGTCTTTTATCATCGTCGATCCTTCAAAAGAATCTACCGCACATCCGGCGCACAAAAAGCACTAGGAAGAGGGCAGAAGAGGATCGCGTTTGGTCCAAGGGAAACAATTTCCATTCGTTTAGCCAATTGCGACGGTAAACGACAGATCCAGTGAAGCTCTGTCTTGAAAAAGAAGGCAGACAAAGGTCGCCGAGCTGAAAGGGCTCGCTTGACAAAGTGCGCTTTAATCACGTTTCAGCCGGCATTGCAATCAAACACCCCTGGCCGCGAATCCGCTGCCGCCTGGGCAATTGTTCTCTCTCTCTCTCTCCCTCTCTATTTCTCTCTCTCTCTCTCTCTCTCTCTCTCTCTCTCTCTCTCTCTCTCTCTCTCTCTCTCTTGATCCTCGACGAACGTAGAAAAGTGCGGGGAGGCGTTTCGCGGGCGATTATTATGGGGAAAACAATCGTGGCTGTTTTCAGGCTGATACCCAGTACCTGAAGGGGCCGCACATAACCGCGGTGGACGAGAAGGGCCTGGAGACCGCGGTATTGGGCTTGGAGTTCCGTGTCGCCAACAAACACTTCAAGCGGGGCGACATGAAGCTAAAGTGCTTGGCGACAATAGCGACCGTCTACTTGCAGAGCAACGAGGAGAGCGTGGAGGGGGACGAGAGGATCCTGAAAGCACCTGTAATGGAGAGCCGCGAGACCAGGGCGCAGAGCCATACTCGCAACGACTTAACCAACGGTTAGTTCCTCCGTAGCTGTCTTTACCGAGGCCGGCCAAATTTTCTCGAACGTACATGCTCGGACAAAATTGATCTCCGCCGCGGAATTGATCTCCGTTCGTTTCTGGTGCCCAAGGTCACGCGAAGTTTCGCCATAACAAGTGTCTAGAATCCTGTAGTCTAGCACGCAGATGCAACGACTGCGAATTCGTTCTTGCCTGCTGAAACGTAGTCACACATTTCCGACAATCCTCGTATATTTCTGGTGTCTGAAATCGTTCCGATCCGCAGGAAGCAGAACGCCAACGTCGCCGACCTCGATGCTGATCATGGCCCCGATCACCTGGCTGGTTCTCGGCCGATAATAACACATTTTTCCACGTCGCTTCCTACGAGTGTAAGACGAGTACATTAGGAGAATCTCGTTCCCATCGTATCTAAATACCTAACAGTTAAGCCGCGTAATCATAATTAAATATCATATCGATAAAGAATGAGAAGAAGATGAAAAAAGAAAAGAAGGCGAAAGAAGAGATGAGAAAAGAGAAATGGTAAGGCCGGCCATCATCGTCCGCGTACAAACACATTGGCGGGTCCAGCGAACCGGTTCCCGGACACGTCTTCTCGCGCATCGTTCGTTTCCGCCACGGGACAATGACACTTTTTTACTGTTTTTACCATCGAGGACCGACGGCAGTGCCAAACGAAAGCTCCGCGGCCTGATCAAGAACCATATTTCCGGAGTGTCCGCGTGTCGGGCACGGCCCTCGGTTGGCGGACCATTTTTTATCAATTTTTCACTCGATATATTTTCCGATCGAACGAACTTGATTTTCCTGCCAAAATTGATTCTCGCGATCCGCATTCGATTCGATATAAACGGTTGATTTGACTACTGCGGGTGATTTTAGCGACAGCAACCCGACCGACAACCGACGCGTCGGAAAAACCATAAGCGGGGGAGAAAGTGCCGCGGAGTTCGGACTATACGCTGCCGCCGGTCCGTTAAGGGGGGAAAGTACCGTCAACTGTTTTCGCGGTCCTCGTTTCACCAGACGGGAACGCAACATTCGTGGATCCGCCATTGCCATTAAACCAAAGTATGTTCTAGGCTCTAAATGTATTCTCGCGTGAAGAAGGAGGGTCTCGTTTCAAACATATCCGTGGAATAAACCGGGAGAGAAAAAGAACGACGACGAGCCGATAAGGGTGAAAGGGAGCGTAGAGAAGGAGCATGAGTCCGTTACTTCGTGCGTGTCTACGTTAAGTCGTCCGAAATACGTCGTTCTAGCAGAGAAATCGCACAACGTTATTCTTACTTTCCCAGATATTATTTTTTACTCGGAGATAGTCAAAATATAACTGACCGAAGGGAACCGCATTGTCGACGCTCGACGTACNTCTCTCTCTCTCTCTCTCTCTCTCTCTCTCTCTCTCTCTCTCTCTCTCTCTCTCTCTCTTGATCCTCGACGAACGTAGAAAAGTGCGGGGAGGCGTTTCGCGGGCGATTATTATGGGGAAAACAATCGTGGCTGTTTTCAGGCTGATACCCAGTACCTGAAGGGGCCGCACATAACCGCGGTGGACGAGAAGGGCCTGGAGACCGCGGTATTGGGCTTGGAGTTCCGTGTCGCCAACAAACACTTCAAGCGGGGCGACATGAAGCTAAAGTGCTTGGCGACAATAGCGACCGTCTACTTGCAGAGCAACGAGGAGAGCGTGGAGGGGGACGAGAGGATCCTGAAAGCACCTGTAATGGAGAGCCGCGAGACCAGGGCGCAGAGCCATACTCGCAACGACTTAACCAACGGTTAGTTCCTCCGTAGCTGTCTTTACCGAGGCCGGCCAAATTTTCTCGAACGTACATGCTCGGACAAAATTGATCTCCGCCGCGGAATTGATCTCCGTTCGTTTCTGGTGCCCAAGGTCACGCGAAGTTTCGCCATAACAAGTGTCTAGAATCCTGTAGTCTAGCACGCAGATGCAACGACTGCGAATTCGTTCTTGCCTGCTGAAACGTAGTCACACATTTCCGACAATCCTCGTATATTTCTGGTGTCTGAAATCGTTCCGATCCGCAGGAAGCAGAACGCCAACGTCGCCGACCTCGATGCTGATCATGGCCCCGATCACCTGGCTGGTTCTCGGCCGATAATAACACATTTTTCCACGTCGCTTCCTACGAGTGTAAGACGAGTACATTAGGAGAATCTCGTTCCCATCGTATCTAAATACCTAACAGTTAAGCCGCGTAATCATAATTAAATATCATATCGATAAAGAATGAGAAGAAGATGAAAAAAGAAAAGAAGGCGAAAGAAGAGATGAGAAAAGAGAAATGGTAAGGCCGGCCATCATCGTCCGCGTACAAACACATTGGCGGGTCCAGCGAACCGGTTCCCGGACACGTCTTCTCGCGCATCGTTCGTTTCCGCCACGGGACAATGACACTTTTTTACTGTTTTTACCATCGAGGACCGACGGCAGTGCCAAACGAAAGCTCCGCGGCCTGATCAAGAACCATATTTCCGGAGTGTCCGCGTGTCGGGCACGGCCCTCGGTTGGCGGACCATTTTTTATCAATTTTTCACTCGATATATTTTCCGATCGAACGAACTTGATTTTCCTGCCAAAATTGATTCTCGCGATCCGCATTCGATTCGATATAAACGGTTGATTTGACTACTGCGGGTGATTTTAGCGACAGCAACCCGACCGACAACCGACGCGTCGGAAAAACCATAAGCGGGGGAGAAAGTGCCGCGGAGTTCGGACTATACGCTGCCGCCGGTCCGTTAAGGGGGGAAAGTACCGTCAACTGTTTTCGCGGTCCTCGTTTCACCAGACGGGAACGCAACATTCGTGGATCCGCCATTGCCATTAAACCAAAGTATGTTCTAGGCTCTAAATGTATTCTCGCGTGAAGAAGGAGGGTCTCGTTTCAAACATATCCGTGGAATAAACCGGGAGAGAAAAAGAACGACGACGAGCCGATAAGGGTGAAAGGGAGCGTAGAGAAGGAGCATGAGTCCGTTACTTCGTGCGTGTCTACGTTAAGTCGTCCGAAATACGTCGTTCTAGCAGAGAAATCGCACAACGTTATTCTTACTTTCCCAGATATTATTTTTTACTCGGAGATAGTCAAAATATAACTGACCGAAGGGAACCGCATTGTCGACGCTCGACGTACAGTCGGTCGCAGCATTGTGAAATTCACGTACCTAAAGAGAAACTGAAGATTTTTGTACGTCAAATAAGTCGTTTGAAAAATGAATACGAAAATGGTGACAAATAAATTGGAAACGTTAAATTGCTTAACTTAATTCTAGTTAAATAACTTGAATTACTTGACAATGTATAACCAGAAGTTTATAGTTGCGGTGTAACAAAGTTGCATAGGCTCGATGCTTAAGGAAATCTTTGATCCTAAGGACTTTGAACATCTGTAGACTTCTGGGGCCGACTGCGCGTACTGATATTCCTCGGTACATGTTTCGTTGGCATAATTTTCGAGGCAGGAGAGGCTGCATGTTCTTTCTCGTTACAACGAGTCCGGTTCCGTCTTGATTTCCCTACTGTACATGATCGCGCGTTCGAATTTCCCGCGCGAAACAGTTCGCCCACTCCCGCTTGAGCAGGAATTGAACGAAATTACCGGGAGAACGGGAATAAATTGTTTCCGAGGTGAGAATTGAATTGAGGGTGTTGCATGGTTGTGTCGCTGTTTCGAGGAAACAAATTGTCTTCGCTTTCCGTCTCGGTGCGTATCGCTGTGCGGATTCTTGACCGTTAGTAAAATGGCGGGAAACTCGTTTCGTTTTGTACCGATCCCTCTTGCGAGATTGCCACGCGCGTCACAAAGCTGCGCACAACGTTGCGGAACGAAATTCAGACTCGAACGAAACGCACACTGTAAAAATGGCGGTTATTTATTGTCCCAAGAGTTGCTGCTTGTCGTCTTGTTTATCGTCTTCCCGCGCGTGACAATGCGGCAAGAGTGCATTCCGGTTGCTTATTGTTGACAATACCGTTGCTTATTGCTGGAATTTTATTCGTTGCTTGTTTACACTGTTGCCGTTGTTCCGTTTCTTCTTCGACTACACTTCGACGTGGTGCTGCAATCGAATTGTGCGAAGGAAAGGAAACCGCGAGAGGCAGGGAGGAAGAGCAGAATTAATTGCGCACGCAACAACGTTCACCAACGTTCGGATCGAATACCGGAAATCTGTTTCTCCCATAGATATAGATATCCCGATACTTGTGTCACGTGAGCGTTTTTTGCGAATTTGTAAATATGTACATAATTTTCATCGTTATTAAAATTCACTATTATAATACGCCTTCTTGTCTTCTCCTTCGTCCTTTTCCCTCTGACGACGAGTCGGTCCACTTTGAGCGACTATGGTAATTTTTTTCTGCTGAAAGAACGGGGTTCCAGAAAAATTTACAATATGACTTTTTTTTACGAGCCATGATGAACATTTATGTATTTTCCTTTTTTTACTACTGGCATTTTTTAAGAACTTATGAAGGTTTGAAGTAACGGTGATGGACCTTTAAGTCCAGCTTGGCGCGTTACTGCCCGCCATATTGTTGTTCCTCAACTGTTAACAGTAAATTGGAACTGATGTAGCTATGAATGAAAATATAAATTGTATGAAATATTGGCGAATCAATACTATACAATTAAAAAACAGTACAACCGTTGTTTATGGCCTCATTCAGCTAACTTCAGCTTGTTAAGTTCGAATTCGCCATCTGCTGGCAGAAATCAACTATGATAGTGTTCGTTATTCAAATGGTTAACGTTTCTACGCGGCTGTAAATATTTGGCATCTCTGCTAGATCGAAATAATTTTGATTGTTTTAGCTATATATAATAAATGGTGAGTTAACTGTTTATTTGTAGCATTAATTCATCATTATCTGCTGTAGTAGTTAGTGTTTCGTGTTTATAACCTCGATAGTAATCTTTCACCGTCGTTAATTGACGTCTTTAAACATCAATTAAAAGTACTATTCGATGGATAATATGTACTTGTATCAGATGGAACCTATGACTTTGGGATCACCGGTTGGAAGTCCTGTACAAACGCCCGGAAGCCCTCCAGCCTCCGGGTACCTTCCGAATTTTCTTCTAGGAGACACTACAATGGTAAATATGAATAATCTCGATTTAATTAGCCTCCAAGTAATTCGTTTATGACATAAATATTTTTTGTTGGTCCTCAGCCAGCCAAGGTCAACCTAACAATCCCCCAGGACACTCCGAAACAGCTCCTAATAGGGCACACCAGTCTTACGTCTCCACTGTATGGCACCCCAGACTATCGGTCTAACAGACAGAAAGCAGTATTTGGTGGGGCAAACACACCAAACACGTCCCAAATAGTGACAGAAAACCATACCGGGGGGCCACCAACCAGAGGATTGTTTGATTCTTTGGATACATCTCAGGCAGCATCACCGTATATGTTAGCATCGAATCAAAGCATAGCTCACAATCAATCTAAACACCTGATGAACTCAATGAACAATTCCATCTTCAACGAAACTCCAATAAACCCAAATACAACCGAGTCTCAAGGTCTTCTACAATGGGTGACAGTCTTTGGGTTTGCACCCAGTGATTTAAACACTGTGTTAGCGCATATTTCGACCCGAGTTCGCATAGTGGACAAGCATCCTGCTCCCCATGCACAGAGCAATTGGATACACCTAAAATCCGCTTCGGAGCAAGAAGCTCAGAGAGCCCTAGCTTGTAATGGAAACATCGTTTCTGGATCGATAATGATCGGTGTGATACCTTGCACAGACGAGGGTGTCATAATGGGTGCTGATAAAGAAAATCGGACGAAAATGAACGGCAGCATAAAATGCTACTCCAATTTCGGAAGGGTCAACCAATCCCCGGAATACAACACTCCCTGTACACCAATTAAACTGCAAAACGCAAGACCCCTAGCTGCTGGTTATTACCAACACCTCAGTCCACAGTCCGTGAAGGCGACTGAAAGTGTTCCCCAAAAGTCCACTGGTCTAGTTTCGAAAGCTATGGAGTATATGTTCGGGTGGTAATTCGCAATAAAATAAGACGATTTTTTATTGTTCTTTAACGACTAATGTTATTTAATTATAATTTGCTTAACTTCATAAAAGACAGTTATGACTAACTCGAGAGAAGAATGTTCCGCGGACCCTAAAAGAATTGTTACTGTATTTTTACTACATAAATAGTACGAAATATAAATCTTTACAAACATCGGATAATTATCACGCAACTTGATAAGCGATAATCCTGTCGCACTCATTTATACTTAGACTAAACTGTTTGCACGGAAATAGTAGCACGCGTATTGCACACGGTTCGATTGACAACACTGTCGGAGGACAATTTTCCGTTGACCAAAGGATGATTCTTACACTTTTTTGATGATTTCTCTTTTTGAAATAAAATGTCTCAGAAATTGGGTACGATCGAAACGGAAAAGAAAATCTGAGAAATTGTCTAATAATATAATATACTACGAAATTTTAGACTAATCGATATCGTACAAAAGGAACGTCAAATCGCACGTCTTTACGAAAGGAAACAATTAACTAAGCTGTAGTGCTTATGATTAGTATATTCTTCTCTCCTACCCGCGGTGTATCATACGACCAGGACTTTACACATTTTCACGAAAAGAATTAAGAACTGTTGCTACTACAGCAAGGTTATAGTAGAATCTCTATGCCTCCTTTGAATTCTGTTCGCATGTAAAACGCTAATATAGTACAATCACACATTCTTTCCTCATACTAATAAATACATGGGTATTGCCCCATAGATCTACTGTGGACTCTCAATGGTGGCACTACCCAAGTCAGTCATTTTCGGATATTTCACTTTCTTTTTGTCCAGCTCATTCTGTGACCAAAGGATCATCTTGAGCAAGTTATTCAGCCGTGGGCTGGTAGACTCCCTGTGCTCCATCTTCAACAGGGCTGCATTTAGCTCGCTTGCTATCTATGATTGATATGATTGATTATACAATAAATTGTTTAAAACATTATCAAACAGTTCAGATGCTATTTCAATACCTTTTGCCTATGACTCGGATGCAAGAGGTCACTGAATGGACTCTTGTGTGGTTCATCAAAAGCCAATAGAGCTAAGGTACGCTCCAATTCGCAGAGGATATTGTCATCAGATTCACCAGCCTCGCTGAGTCGCTCCTGAGCAAACTGTAGTGCCTCTTCAATTCTGCCAGTGTGAATCAACTCAATCAGATGCAACTGCTGCAAGTGAAAATACAGGTATCTATCGTTGTCCAACAATTCCGGGTGCAGCTGGTTCACGAGATCGATGGCCTCCTGAATACGGCCATTTTGAATAGCATCTCTAATACGAATTCTATCGTCAACAGAGTTTAACTCCACGGTGGGTTCGGCGCCGGACTCCTGTTGGAATTTTTCAGCTGCCTCTTTGAATCCCTCTGCGAAATAAATAATTCCTTAGTACACCTAAAATTTTAAAAGCTACTGCATCCGTACGCGAATCGAGTGTAGCGATCTACTGACCTGTAACGAAATAATTCATAATCAAATTGTTCATGGAGACGCGTTGCGTGTGCGAGTTCTCCTCCAACTTGGCGACCCACTCGTCTTTCGATATATTGTCCTGTTTCTCCGGGAAGCTCATCGTTCTTTGGCAATCACCATTAACGATTAAAACAAAACAATCTACCAAGCGAAGCTAAATCATGCACAATTGTGAACGTGATCTAAGTACCTTGCGGTAGTAAACTCCGAAGGATTTCTGACACAACAGCTGATCCAAAGCTGTTGTCTCGCCGAAAACGTAAACACACAATGGATTCCTACAGATGAGAAACTACGGCGTTTTTTTGGCAATAAGTATAGCCTCGTGAAGATAGCCTCAGAACTCCATGTTTAAAGTGTAAGTTCCTTCACCATGAACGTGGTTACGGAATTACTCTGGCTTTGTTGCAGTCTAAATGAGGGCTAACTAAAATGAATGATGATTAATTTCCCTCAAGGTACTCTATACAGCTGTAAAATAGCTATGTATATACATGTGTACCAATATGTAGTCAGAGATGAAGTTAAAAAATAAAGTTCACAGATCCTAAAGTTGTCCAGGAAACAAAGTTGGTCACTACCTTAAGAGCATACAACTTTCCTTTTGATTTACAGTTTGTTGTTATAATTCTTTTTAAATTGTAATTAAGCCATTATAAAGTGCATTCTTTCGGCTTTAATTTAAGCTATCAAACATTAAGAAATGATAACGGGAAGCCGTTGAAATATGGGTTTATAATCAATAAACTTATATTTTGCTAGTTTTGTTATGTGGTGCCATCGGTGACAAAGTCTCAAAGCTTGTTGTCGACTAATTCTAAAATTCACTGCTAGATGACAGTTTTTTTAGGAAAATGATATGTGGCACCATCGACGGCAAATGCTTGAAACTACTTGGCAATAACAATTGCAGAATATTGCAACTTTATTAATTTAAGGCCAATTTAAAGCCTAACGTTTCATAGCTTAAATTGAAGCTGAGACGAAAATAATAACGATACCGTGGTAGAGAGAGAGAGAGAGAGAGAGAGAGAGAGAGAGAGAGAGAAGTATAAGAGGAGCAATGAGTTGTCTTACGAGCAGGGACTTAAATGCAAGGATTTTAAGGGAATGACACTTCTACGTGTTTCCGTAGTAGTTTTCTAGTTTTTAATAGCTCAAATTAAAGCTGAAAGAATTCTCTTTCTGGTGCCATGATTACCATTTGAAAATAATTACGATAACTTACTGAAAATCGACTGACAAAGGGGACTTGTTTTCTACTGTTGGTCTGAAACCGTCAATGTCTTTTGGAATTAATTTAATCAACAATAATAATAATTATCATTATTCTTATCTATGTACAATATATTATAGTAATCGTTGACAGCGACAATCTCAAATGTATGCACAGAGTTCTGAAACCATATTCATGATGGACCCATTTAGTTCTGTCTTTGGAAGAATTTTCTGTTTTCACACTAAACGTTATTGGTGCGATTAATTAGCGTGATTTACACGGTAATTGTTGAGCAATAAGTGTCGTGCACAAGCACTTCAAAATGTCTATAATGGTGTCCGTTATATACATTTTACTGCTGTCCTTCCTTCTCTCCTTTTGTCTTACCGCCATTTTAGATTATCTGATGAACTTAATATACAACATAATTTCTTTGTTATAAACGAGCACGAATGAAGCATTCATTTCCTAGAAATGAATAATCGACTAAAACAATTGTCAACACACATTAAATTGCGTACTAACTTAAAGAAATGTAATTGATATTATGAAACGTTTGTTTATCAATGTATTGGACGTTCAAGTTTCAGAAATTCGCCAGTAACATCGTACAACATTCTAACTAATTACTGACAATTTGTGGCTATTTACCAATCAAGAAAGGATCGGCTAATAAACGTATAATTTACACAAAGTCAGAAAAGTGCTTCTAACCGTTAATTGACAGTTTAAAATGTTCCGATGCTGTCCTGCAGAGGGACCATTCTGTCGAGTGTTATCATGAACAGTGATTTACGAGGAACTGCGAATCAAGCATCAGCAAAATACTTCTAATATCTACTGAAATATACATTCGCAAGCGACACGATAAATATCTCACGGAAAACCGCAAACGATCCGATAGCATGAGCGGGTTCGCCTGACTTCGAACTTAAGTTTGACTGGTAAACGATTTAACGCGCAGTTGTCGAGCCCGATGAAAATGTTCAAAGAGGATGGTGGCAAGTCTATCATATCTGCATTGGTCATTCTAACGTTTTTCTGCAGCGAAACGTCCTCAGAATGCACCAAATTAACAACTTGTTCCTGTGCGTTCCCCGACGGTCGGGGTTACAACTTGACACAGCTCAACAGCATAGGGTCGGCAGTTTTTATCCCCCTAACCTCAATCATGTTATTGATTTAATATTTATCTGCGAATCTTTTGTTGCAGACCTTTGATGACATGGAATGGAATGAACAACACCTTTTATTTTCAACCGTGTGAAAATATTCCTCTGACAACTAATGCATCTAGCGAATGTTACAAAGGAAAAGGAGTATCTGTAAGAGCAATCATATTCTTATACCCTGGGCTTATTGTAGAAACATTGTCCTAATCTATATTGTTCTTCCAGATGTGCCTACTATATGAAAATAATAATTCTTCTATCAGCCTTGGAACGGTCGAGGAAACTACTATGATTATATATCCTGCAAACTCCAAAAAACTGTCTTCCCTATTTCTTCAGCATAAGGATTATAACACAACAGTGGAATTTGTCTGTTGCCCAAACTGTGTCACCCATTTGGTGTTTGATAAAGCTATCAACATTCACGATAATGTAAGCTCAATTTGATTCTTGGTAAGAAAACAATGTAATGCTTTTGCTACCCAAATATTAGACTACTTAAAATTGAGTATCAATAGTTTTGGGTTACATTAAGAGCCTTATCACAATTGGACTTAGGGTATTCAAATATGTAAATTCAATACTGTATGGAATTTCTCAAGATTTAAGTATGAAAAATCGTAAAAACCATCATACGATTTAATTATAATTACCTAATATAATCGTGTTTCAGTATCTACTGTTGGTGTCGCCCCACGTTTGCGAGGTGCAGATACGCGACAACCACGGGCTCTCTATCGGTTCCTTATTGGTGATTATCTTCTTCGTATTTAGCGGAATATATTTTATTGGAGGCGCGTTGACGTTGAATCTCCTGAGGGGGGCAACAGGTTGGGAAATGGTACCAAACCATAAGTTCTGGAGGGATCTACCGTCGCTTGTGCGAGTAAGATGCGAAAAGATTTAATTATTCCTAATACCATTTACTAATCCAATAACAAAATTTGATTCCATTAAATTCTCCTTAGGACGGCATCGACTACATCCTGTGCTGCTGTCACGTCAGCAGTTACGACAGGATATAAGAAGTCTCATCGTAGTGTTAGAATTCAGTGTTTGATTTTGATAGATTTTATATTGTATAAATAACAAACTATGTTTATGTTTCGTACGTTGCGCATGTTAGAGTTTATAGAGGAATATGTTACTCGATGTTTTGCACAGTGGATTTCACTCTATCAAGGGAGAAATGTATTTTGTACGACATATACTTCTCTTGTATTTTTGTATAAAGAACATGTGATATTTATTCAGTGTTTTCTTACGTAATTATATATATATATAATATATCTATATATATATTTAATATAATATAAAAAGAACGAACA